TAGAGCCATAAAAGGGCACAATTGGTGGTTAACTTTTTCATGTATTTTTTTTCTCTCATCTTTTTATGTTCACTATTTTAATCAAGACTAGGATGTATAAAAACACACATTAAATTTACTATAAGATGAAAAATCAATTAAATCAATATTTTTTCATGCAAAAATTATCAAGTAACTATTGTTTTCTCTTCATAGCAAAATATTTATATTTTTTGTGTTTACATTTTCATGGCTTAATTAATATAAAATCATTGCAAAATTATTTTGGACATCAGATTGTAGGCCTAGAAGTACAATTTATGGTCCTTAAGAGGCTGAAAGTCCATCTTATGGATGGCATGTAGAGATTTTCTTTTTCTTTTGATCAAACTTTTTCCAAGGGATTCCATGCTGATCAGTTTTTGTAGCATTCAGTTTCTAAGCTATAGTCATAAGAGTGTAAAGATACTTTTAAAACTCTATTTTTGCATGGTACGTTTTCCAATTAACAAGTTGAGCAATATACTATTTCCCAAATTAAACCATTTGCAAAATGTTTTCTTGTCTATCACAGTGCTGTGTCCACATTTTTCTACTTGCCCATTTCATTGTTGACAAGATGTCAATATATCATATTCCACCAAACTTACCCCTGAATTTTATATTTTTTGTTCTTGTTGAAGTGGCTGATATTCCTGAAACGGGCATTTGAAAAAGACTTTTTATTGTCCTAAGTCGAGTAAAGGTCCAACACTTGTGAAGTTGTCTATTGTTGTCTAGATGTCTTTTGATTTTTTGTATTGTTGAGTTGCTGTTTCATTGATGTATACCTTACATCCCCTTTTATTGTCCCCAGCACAATGCGTTGCAGGGGGACATAGAAATACTGGGCTTCTGTCTGTCTGTCCGGTCTTGTTAGCGCTCTCACATGTACAATTTTTGGCAGATTTTTATAAAACTTATATCATAGTTTTATATCAGCAATGTCTTAGACATTTCGAAAGTTAGTGGCAATGAATTATTTTTAAAAGAGTTATGCCCCTTGGAAACATTAATTATATGGAAAATTGCATCGTTAGCACTCTCATGTGTACAATTCTTGCCAGATTTTTATGAAACTTATATCATAGGTTTATTTCAGCAATGTCTCGTTCGAGTTAGAAAATCAGTGCTGATCAATAATTTGCAAAAGAGTTATGCTCCTTGGAAACATTAATTATATGAAATCAAAGTACTGAAGTACTGAACATCGGATGACCACAAGTTCTTGAGGATGGTCAAAAGCACTTGTCTCAGAAAAAAACAACATATCTCTTTACCTAAAACTGAGGTTAATGTACAGAGATATATTTTTTTCTGAGACAAGTTCGTGCGTGGATGATGAATAAATGACAGGAAATTCAACTTCACCGTAATAACTATTATATTGTAGTGATACAAATCAGTATACACTGAGTTGTTGTTTATATCATATTAAAATAACAGTTACATATATATATGATTTGAATCCATTTGTATATCATTCTATTCTACTATTCTAAAAATAGTGCAATGCAAGTGCATGGTGGACACTTTTCTGTAAAAATTCGATTTTTCTAAGATTGGATACGAGTAGGCATTCATATTTTCCCGCAAAATCAATTACAGGGTTACCGGTCCTTGACGGTATTTTCACAAAACGTTCTTTGAGATATTCTTCCGCATGCTTTAACACAATTTTTCGGTACGTGTGCATTGATATTATCAATGATTTTTTACTTATATATATATATATCTTACTACAAAACATTTTCATATTATTAATTTATGTTGTAAACAAAAATATTTTTATCAGTATTCATTGAAGAGATGTATTTATATCAAACGATAAGGAATGTTATTTTGCACTCGTTTATGTGCGCGTATTTATCATGTTTATAGATCGGTTACAAACCCAAAACTAATTTACATAATGGAAATCTAGGCGATAGCAATACATCGGGATGACCTCAAGGTCATCGCGATGTAAAAATTGCATTGTTAGCGCTCTCATATGTACAATTCTTGTCAGATTTTTATGAAACTTTTATTGAAGGTTTATATCAGCAATATCTCAGTTAAGTTCGAAAATCAGTGCCGATCAATAATTTTTTTAAAGAGTTATGCCCCTTGGAAACATTAATTATATGAAAAATTGCATCATTAGTGCTCTCATTTGTACAATTCTTCCCAGATTTTTATAAAACTTATATCATAGGTTTATATCAGCAATGTCTTGAACGAGTTAAAAAAAAGGCTAATTAATTATTTTAAGAAGAGTTATAGCCCTTGGAAACATTAATTATATGAAAAATTGCATTGTTAACTCTCTCATATGTAGAATTCTTGCCAGTTTTTTTATGAAACTTTCATCAAAGGTTTATATCAGCAATGTTTTGAACAATTTCAAAAATTTGTTCCGATTAGTTATTTTTAAAAGAGTTATGCTCCTTGGAAATATTAATTATTTGCAAAATTGCCTTGTGAGTGCTCTCATGGGTACAATTCTTGCCAGATTTTTATGAAATTTATATTATAGGTTTATATCATCAATGTCTTGGATTAGTTCAAAAATCTGTGCAGATCAATTATTTTTAAAAGAGTTATGGCCCTTGGAAATATTAATTACATGTATATGGCAAATTGCATCATAAGCACTCTCACGTGTACAATTCTTGCCAGATTTTTATGAAACTTATATCATAGGTTTATATCAACAATGTCTTTGACACTTTAGAAAATAAGTGTTGATCAAATGATTTTAACGAGTTACGCCCTTGGAAATATTAATTATATAGGAAATAACATTGAATTTGCTCTGAAGCATTCATTTCACTTAGATATTTATGAACAGTTTTTAAGAACAAAAAAAAGTCTATTTTTTAGTAATTGCCCTTGTTCCTTGGATAGATAAAATATGTGCAACGCATTGGACATTGGACATTGGAACTCTGTTCTTTTATTTATATTTAAAAAAAAATCATCTGACTTTGTTAATATTATATCAGTAATGATTCTTTATTAAAAAAGTCATAAAAATGTTATTTACAACCAATAATTTGGAATTATGATTCCTTTGGTTTATAACATGCTTCTTTTCTCACCACAATATCTTCAGTTATACACGATTTATACATGATTTATACATGATTTATACACAATTTATACATGATTTATACAAATGTACATGATTTAAGTAATAAATCTTAAAAAGGAGTTAGCCTGAAGTATATAAGTTCATTCTTCCATATCAGGAGTGGGTGCCACATGTGGAGCAGGATCTGCTTACCCTTTTGGAGCACCTGAGATCAGCCCCAGTTCTTGGTGGGGTTCATGTTGCCCAGTCTTTAGTTTTCTATGTTGTGTTTTGTGTGCTGCTGTTTGTGTGCTGTTGTTTGTCTGTTGTTCTTTTTCTTTTTTAGCCATGGCGTTGTCAGTTTATTTATGACTTATGAGTTTGAATGTCCCTTTGGTATCTTTCCCTTCCCTTTTGAAAACCTAGAGTCAGCTGGACTAAGAATTGGGAGCTTTATAATGTAAAAAAAATGAATGAATGTTAGTACAATTTATTATATTTTTCAAAATTTTAATGCTATTTCTTTAATTGATTTTTTTCATAAAAATTATATTCCTCTATAAAATGGTTTTATCTTTCAGAGCAATTGTAAGCCTGAAAATTTTATTATTTTTTTCATTTATTCTTTATAGGTAGGTATTATTGTTCATAACTATTTAAAGTTAAAGGGAGAATAGTGTTTGTACTAATTGAGCATACCCTCTTGAAATAAAGATTATTATTATTATTATTATTATTATTAAAGTTTAGGGAATCTTGTTGTTGCTTGTATAGGTGGTAAACATTTACAAGATATGTAGAAAAATCACAATTTAAAGAAAACAAAATACAAAAATCTGTAGAAGCAAAAATGATCCATTTAGATAATTAAGGACCCAAGATAAATAATCTCATTTATATACATGATTCCTTTGTAGAAGAAAGACATCATTTGAGGATGTTCATTATAATTAAAGTTCTACATGACAATGTCTTAGGTATCTTAAGCTATTTCCAATATATTTAACTTAAGAAGGATTGTACATTCACCACCTTTAAGTACATTCTACATGCAACAAAATAATCTTCTAAGAAATATTATTTTGGGTTGAAAAGATACGTGCTGATGGAACAGTTACAAAGCTTGTACTTTAGTAAGTTTTGAGTGTGAATACATAAATAAACAGCAACACAATATATCAACTTTCCAATAAGATAATTAGATGTCAACTTACAGTCTTAACTGATAGACAAATGTCTTTAAACTCTAAACTGTGTGGACAATTTGTAAGCAAATTAATATTGACCACCAAATAACTACCATTAGCATAAAAAATTAATGGACATAAAGCACTAAAATATAAGCTGTGGCAATTATAGTGTAAAATCAAGGTTACCAATGAGTTATCAAATACTTGAGTATTGCTCAGTCTATTTGAGTATGAAGTAAGAAAAAAGGGGTTCGGGTTAACGTTGGCATCTGTTTAAACACGGTAGTGTAATGTCACCTTAAGAGATATTTTTTAAAAGGTTGTCAGTTTTGAATATATGTAATAGAATTCAGGATGTCTATAAACAGCAAACTAACAACTGAAATTTAAGCTGGGGAGATATGAACTCTAATAATAACTATGATAGCAGGTGCTCAGGAAGAGTAACCATTTCTTACTTTTACTGTATCACCATTATTTCATCCATGAAAAATGTAGAAATTGACAAGTGTTTTCTGTAAACTATAATTAAGTGCTATATTTAGCCTTATTGTGATTTTTAGTTGTTGAGTTGCTGCCATTTCATTGATGTTACACTCCACATTTCCTGGATTAATATTCATCAGATAGTAATAAATAGAATATTATTGAAAGCTCGATAATATATCAAGCATAGTAACATTTTTGCTTTAGTACAATTCAGTTTGAAGATGTAGTTTTTTTCTTCTTTTTTTCAGATGAGAAACATATGGTGATTAAATGTGACTTAAGAGAGAGAATATTAAACCCTGCACAGCTTCCTTTCTATGGTAATTTTGTAAGTAAATATTAGTCAAACTGCACTAATCTTATTAATATTTCTTGTCAGAAATTTTAACATTTAAAATGTGTGCAGCCATTTACTCCTAGTTTAATGTGTTTTTTTCTGAAATCCAGTGTAAAGAATAGCCCATGGTAATGCAAAATGAACATTTCTAATGAAGATTTTACTTGTATTGGTAAGAATAATTACGCTTTATAGTGGTAACTATTACTTCAAAGTTACTAAAAATTATGTGTGATATTAAATCTATTGTTCATGATGCCTATAACAATAGATGAGACCATAAAGTTTCTTTTGCAGCATTATCAATTATTTAACTTAAAATTTGAAAGTGAATGAATAATTATAGATTATTTGTTGTTTTGAAAACAAGAGGAAGTTTCTCAGCTACTATCTCATGAAGGGTGATAGTTCAGGCCTTGCTGTCATAAAACTTTCGAGTATGATTTCTGTACTCAGCCTCGGAAATCAACCAATCAAATGGCTTGTTTTGGTGTTTTGAGCACAAATTTTGTACTCCGAGTACTTAGTAAAGTTTTATGTACTAGAGCCATGAAATGTGATGTAGAAGAGAAACTTTTTGAAGTTGAAAAACAAAAGATTGCCATTTCCCTAGGCAATGTCAATGAAGTAAGCTATGACTTCATTGTGGTCTCACTCATCTCAACTGAACTGAGAAAAACCATTCTAAGTCAAGTTGCTTGATATAGAAAAAAGATCAAAGCAAAATTTGAGAAAATAGCAATAAGATAAGTTACATATTTCAGATGTCTTTTTTTTTGTTTAATTGTGTTGTTAGGTTGTGCTCTCATTGATATGTGTGCCACATCTCCTTTTATGAGCTCACCTGGCCCGAAGGGCCAACTGAGCTTTTCTCATCACTTGGCGTCCGTCGTTCGTCGTGGTCGTGGTCGTTAACTTTTTACATTTTGAACTTCTTCTAGAGAACCACCCAATGGAATGAAACCAAACATTGCATGAATGTTCCTTATGAGGTGCTGACCAAGTGTTGTTACTTTGAAGCCGATCCCTCATCCAAGATGGCCGCCAGTGGGGACTATGTTAACATAGGACCGTATGGACAAAACATACAAATGTCTCTTTTAGAGAACCATTGAATGGAATGAAACCAAACATGGCATGAATATTCCTTATGAGGTGCTGACTAAGTGTTGTTACTTTGAAGCCTATCCATCATCCAAGATGGCCCCCAACAGGGGACTTTGTTTAACAAAGGACCCTAAGGACAATACATACAAATGTCTTCTTTTAGAGAACCACAGAATGGAATGAAACCAAACATGGCATTAATGTTCCTTATGAGGTGCTGACCAAGTTTGAAGCAGATCCATCATCCAAGATTGCCACCAGCGGAGGACTTCGTTTTACATAGGACCATATGGACAATACATACAAATGTCTTCTTTTAGAGAACCACTGAATGGAATGAAACCAAACATGGCATGAATGTTCCTTATGAGGTGTTGACCAAGTGTTGTTACATTGAAGCCGATCCATCATCCAAGATGGCCGCCAGCGTGGGACTTCCTTTAACATAGGACCCTATGGACAATACATACAAATGTCTTCTTTTAGAGAACCACTGAATGGAATGAAACCAAATATGGCATGAATGTTCCTTATGAGGTGTTGACCAAGTGTTGTTACTTTGAAGCTGATCCATCATCCAAGATGGCTGCCAGCGGGGGCTTCGTTTAACAAAGGGCCCTATGGGAAATATATACAAACGTCTTCTTTTGAAGAACCACTGAATGAAATGAAACCAAACATAGCATGAGTGTTCCTTATGAGGTGCTGACCAAGTGTTGTTACTTTGTAGTAAATCCATCAACCAAGATGGCTGCCAACTGGAGACTTCATTTAACATAGGACCCTATCGACAATACATACAAATGTTTTCTTCTAGAGAATCTCTGAATGGAATGAAACCAAACATGGCATGAATGTTCCTTATGAGGTGCTGACCAAGTGTTGTTACTTTGAAGCCGATCCATCATCCAAGATGGCGGCCAGCTGGGGACTTCGTTTTACATAGGACCATATGGACAATACATACAAATGTCTTCTTTAAGAGAACCTCTGAATGGAATGAAACCAAACATGGCATGAATGTTCCTTATGAGGTGTTGACCAAGTGTTGTTACATTGAAGACGATCCATCATCCAAGATGGCCGCCAGCGTGGGACTTCGTTTAACATAGGACCCTATGGACAATACATAAAAATGTCTTCTTTTAGAGAACCACTGAATGGAATGAAACCAAATATGGCATGAATGTTCCTTATGAGATGCTGACCAAGTATTGTTACTTTGAAGCTGATCCATCATCCAAGATGGCTGCCAGAGGGGGACTTCATTTTTAAACAAAGGACCCTACAGGAAATATATACAAATGTCTTCTTTTGAAGATCCACTGAATAGAATGAAACCAAACACAGCATGAATGTTCCTTATGAGGTGCTGACCAAGTGTTTAATTTGTAGCAAATCCATCAACCCAGATGGCTGCCAACAGGGGACTTAGTTTAACAAAGGACCCTATGGGAAATATATATACAAATGTCTTCTTCTAGAAAACCGCTTAATGAATTGAAACCAAACATGGTATGAATGTTTCTTTTGAGGTACTGACCAAGTGTTGTTACTTTGTAGCTGATTTGTCATCAAAGATGGCTGCCAGCAGGGGGAGTAAGTTTAACATAGGACCCTATGGGAAATACATACAAATGTTTTCTCCTAGAGAACCACTGGATAGAATGAAACCAAACATGGCATGAATGTTCCTTATGAGGTGCTGACCAAGTGTTGTCACTTTGTAGCCGAACCATCATCCAAGATGGCTGCCAGCAGGGGAACTTAGTTTAATAAAGGACCCTATGGGGAATATATACAAATGTCTTTTTCTAGAAAACCGCTTAATGGATTGAAACCAAACATGGTATGAATGTTTCTTTTGAGGTGCTGACCAAGTGTTGTTATTTTGTAGCTGATTTGTCATCCAAGATGGATGCCAGCAGGGGGAGTAAGTTTAACATAGGACCCTATGGGAAATACATACAAATGTTTTCTCCTAGAGAACCACTGAATAGAATGAAACCAAACATGGCATGAATGTTCCTTATGAGGTGCTGACCAAGTGTTGTCACTTTGTAGCCGAACCATCATCCAAGATGGCCGCCAGCAGGGGAACTTAGTTTAACATAAGACCCTATGGAAAATACATACAAATGCTTCTTCTAGAGGTGCACTGAATGGAATGAAACCAAACATGGCATAAATGTTCCTTATGAGGTGCTGATGAAGTGTTGCTACTTTGTTGCCAATTTACTGTTCAAGATGGCCTCCAGGATTTTTTATTTAATTACAGGGCCAATATTACCGGTAAACCAAATTTGGCCTCAATCATTATTAGGGTACCTGTTATGATTTTAATCTATTTTTACATGATTTCCAAAACCAAAGTAGAATCTGGTGAGCGACACAGGCTCTTGAGGTGTAATACCACCAAACATAGTACGTCACATCCGGTTGCATACAAAAATAGGTCGAAAAAAAATATTCCTTTGAATTTGACAGTTGTAGGTAATTGGTCATTGCAGTAAAACATTTCTGGGTCATAAACATATATCTTGGGTATTTTAAAGCACCATTATTTTTTTATTTGGGGTTTCTATAGAATATTTTGGAAACTTGAGGTTACATGGTTACTAAAGCTTGTACACAGGTTAAAAAAAGGGGAAAATTTGATTGGTTAACTTTCAGTGATGGTTATTTTCTTATATGCAATGAAATGTTATGTGAAATTTTTTCTATAGTACTGGACAGGATAAAACTTTACTCATGCCAAGTATTTCTTTATTTGAAACAAAGATAAATTTTGCACAATTTTTTGAAAAGTGCAAATTTAACAAAGACTAATAGGGGAAAATCAATGGTGGTATTACACCTTGAGAGCCTCTAGTTAAAAAATCCACATCTCTGTGTATTAACTTAACTTTCTGTCTAAATTTAATCCAGGAAAGCTGATAGGACTAAGAAATGCTCTTTTAGTTCGGATTAAGATATAAGTTGTCACTATTTTTGTACTACATCTATGTAAGTATACTTACTAATGGTCAAATTGAGGTAAATCCATAGCCGTATATATAGTTGGGCATCATTGAGCTTTGTGTACATATATACTTACTTATAAGATCTGTGGATATCTGTTTGAAGGTTAGATTTTTTTCCATCTTTTATTATGTTTGTAACAATTTTATGCTTTTCCATATGTTTTTAGGGGTTTTGGTGTCAATGGAAAATATTTTTTTGATGTGCTTCAGTTCAATGAGAGCTTTTGCTTTTGAGCTGATTTTTCCCCCTGTCATAAAGCTAAGCTTGTGTCTCTCTGACACTGTAAGTGCTCTTATACCTACCGTTTTTATAAGTTTTTAATGAAATTTTTGTATTAGTTTACTTTAGCAATATTTTGGACAAGTTCAAAATCTGGGCTGATTGATTCTTTTTCTGGGAGTAATGCCCTTGGAAATGTAATTAATATGGAAATTGACTTGTGATGAGTCTTGTGCCAACTTTTATTGATGTCAAATGAAATGTATGTCAAAGGTTCACTTCAGCAATACCTCAGACAAGATAGAAAATCTAAGCCAAACAATAATTTTTGGGGGAATCATATCTTATAGTTGTATAGTTGAAAAAATATAGAAATAGAAATGAAATTGAAAATCAACATTGAGATCCCTCTCATGACTTTATAATTTGACAGAGTTTGATAAACTTTATGTCAAAAGTTTGAATTTGCAACATTTCAGATAAGATCAATGATCCATTAATTTTTGGGGGAGTTGTACCACTTGGAATTATAGATAATGTTGTAAATAAACATTGTAAGAGCTCTCACACCTACAATACTCAGCAGAGTTGATTGAAATTTACGTCAATGGTTATCATCAGCAATATCATGGACAAATTTCAAAACAAACTCTGATCGAGCAGTTTTGGTGAAGTTATGCCGCTTGGAAATGTAACTGATTCGGGGAAATTAACATTGTGTGTGAGATCATTGAAATGTATGCCAAAAGAGTACACAAACAATAATGTTGGCCTAGTTTGAAAATCAGCACCAAGATATTATTTTTTTTAAAATTGGAAATGTAAATGATATGGAAAGTTTCAGCACATATTGTAGGGGGATATTGGCCATTTAATCTTAAAAACCTAATTGTATACACCATATGCTGTATGTGCGTTGATTTTATTTTAGACTGTCCATCCAGATTCTGCCACAATGAAGACCTTCCCATCCACTAGTAAAGCTCTAGGGATGTCTATCCCCATCTACAAGATCAAAATTCTTGGACTTCTGTCTTCACAAGATTTGTGTGATTCTATTGTATATGGAATGGTTTGTAAAATTGAACAATTATACTTTCACTTCCTCTTTCATAACTACCACTACACTATGACATTGTCTTTACACAACCCGATTTTATACTTAAGCTTGCTCGATGTATTATTTGTATCCTGATGACGGTGCCCTAGGCACCGAAACATGTCGATAAATAAATTTTCTGCAGCAGTCCCTAAAGTGTTGTTGTTATAAGACTTTTTACATTTTATGTGCTTTATCATAACGACTCTGCATACCCGAGGTATCCACTTCAGGGACTCTACCTTACTACAGAATTACCAGGCGTTGGTTCACTTTTGTTTGTAATTATATACTAAATATTGACAATTGGCTATACATGTACCAAAATTCCAAAGATATGCTATGATTACCAGCATAAATGTAGGTAATCATAAGGTGTCAAAAATGGTCACCATACTTAGGGTAAACTACATAAGACACCTGGTAAAAAATGAAAATGATAATAGAAGTTATATGATCACACAGGGCCTAAAAGAATTACCAAAATCCATTTAAATCAGATGTGAAAAATTAAAAAGAAACCACTGGCAACACAATATATATTGGTCAATTATATAAAATTAAAAACAGATACAATTGTAAGACTACAATTGGCATTGTCCTATAGGCTCAAGTGCATGAAGTATGCAGCAGGGTTAACAAACTTGAGAATTCAATCCTCCTCCTAACCTAGTATGGCATAGCAACAAATGGCATCTACATTTACAATGATGTGTGAAAAGAGATATTCAACCATATTTTTGTTTTTTTTATTAATTCTGTAGGCAATTTAAAGCCTCTTTAGTTATATTTAGAAATACTTTTCTCTGAAAAGTTTAAATTGAAAAACTCATTAGAAAATCCCATATCAATATAATTTAATCAAAATTGTTTTTGTTTTATAGATCTATTATTATGCTTGCAAGTAACCTGGTGTGTCTATTTTTACAGCCAATGATAGCTTTAGCCACAAACTGTTGGAAAATAGATTGGGATGATCTTGAGAAAAATCAACAGCTATTTAAAGCATTATGCTATAAGCTGGTTGAAAAAGTAAGATTTAGTTTAAAAAGGCTGCATTATTTCTTTCCTCGTTTTATAAAAAAGGCATTATGTTTAAAAGCTGGTAGCAAAAGTAAGTTTTAGTTTTAAAAGACTGCTTTATTTTCTTTCCTCATTCAGAGTCATTGTATGGAAAATACATTATGTTATATTATAAGCTGGTAGAAAAAGTAAGATTGAGTTTAAAAGGAACATTATTTTCTTTCATCATTGTATATAAAAATTAATGCATTATGTTAAAACTGGTAGAAAAAGTAAGATTTAGTAACAAGACCACATTATTTTCTTTCCTCATTGTATATAAAAATTAGTGCATTATACTATAAGCTGGTATAAATAGTAAGAATTAGTTTAAAAGGTTACAGTATGTACTATCCTCCTACATATTGAATGTTTTATATACAATGATGTATCTGTTGGATTAAGTTTTTCAAATTAATGGAATTTTGATTTTAACCATCTGACTTTCAATAAGTGAAGGATAAATATTTATTCACCTTATTACTGTAAATTCAGAAACATAAGATTAATAACGACCTTTTAAGGTGGTACATAACACTACAGGGAGATAACTCTGTAAAGTTTTAATCACATTCTATTGTGAAGGAAATATTAAGCTCTCAATGATCAAATTTAGTGTTTGTCAAACTGCTATATATCCAATGAAATTTTTCCAATAAAGTGTGTGGTTTAAGTTTTTTGAAATTTTTATATTTTTGTCAAAGGGTCAAAGTAAATATTTTGTCAAAATTTTATGAAAATTAAACGCAAATTAATTTTAGTCAAGGTGTTTGGTACCACCTTAAGGAAATGCTACATACAAATAATGCTTAAAAATTTTAATTACAAATTTTTTTATGTTGCAAAACCTTACCCATCGCACACAAAAATTAAGAAACATCGGACAAATTTTGAATTACATGTAACTGTCTTAAAATTCAGTCACCTTATGCTGATGATTTATAACGATGTAAGAAATATTTATAGAAATAATTGAAAATTTAATTTCTTTATGGTTAGGTTCAAATGTTAATAGGCAAATTAGAAAATCCTGCATCAAAAAAAATAATTGAAAATTTAATTTCTTAATGTTAGGATCAAGTGTTAATAGGCGAATTAGAAAATCCTGTATCAAACAGATCACGGCCGGACCAGGAAGTAAAACCCAATGGAAGTTTTGTGTTCTTGCCTGCTCCTAATGGCACATTGTTGGTTAAATCTATTGCTGTACAGGAGTTGTTACTTCCATGTCAGACAGGGACATCACTAGATGGTGCCACAGAAGAATCTTTAGATCTTATAAGTTCGTCCTTACATCAGGTTTGTCATTATATTATGTGGAACATCATCTAATAAATCTGATAAAGATTACCAGGATATGTCAGAATTCCATACTTTGAATCATTTTGTCTGCCCTATGTAAGTCTTTACAACCATAAAGATTTACCTTGATTTCAAGATTTTATCCCTGACATTATGTTTAATGTGTGGATTGAAATCAATGCAGTATTAAAACTCAGTAGTCATATTGATAAGTTGCTAACATTTCTTATTGCATTTATTCTAAGAAGATATCTGCAGTTTCTACTGAATTTCAAGGTTTCTCACGGTTAAGTGTTGTAAGTCGATGACATAACACAGTAAAACTTGATACTTCAACTTAAATCTAGATAAGATCACTTATTCACTGATTGTTTTTAAAACCAAACAAAGAAAATAGAGACTAAAAAAACACAATAATGTATAATGTTACTTATGAGATAACTGTATTTTTAGCTTTTAATGTAGGCCAAGCTTAAAATATAATACAGTGATCTCCATTCTAATGTAAAATACAAAAAGCATTCCTAAAAAAGTATTTCTTGTCTTTGGTGCCTGACAGTTTGATGTAATACTGTAAATTCAGAAATTATTGCTTGCATTTATCATTGCGATTTTTGAAGAAAGGACAAAAATGCAAATAGTTATTGCGATTTCAGAAAAATCTGCATACATATACATGTATCAGATATCAGAATGTGAGTTCTAATGTGAAACTCACTCAGTCCCATTATTCGCATAAATAAAAAAAAAAACAATAATTTCTGAATTTACAGTATATACATTTATATGAAGAAGATATATATATATATACTATGTGGCAAAAGTAGATTACCGGTGTATGTGAGGAGGCAACCTTCTCCATGTGTGGCTAGTACTCACAGGACTCATGATCATATCAAAAATTACTAAGATGTTGTCATAAAGTATATTGCTGAAAGCTTTTATATATAAAGATATTAGGAGATGTTGTATGATTGCCAATGAGACAACTATCCGACAGAATTCAAGTAACAAAGATAAAAGCAATTATAGGTAAAATACACCTATTTGATGTAAAATATAGGCAATACCGTAGTTTTCCATAACAATCTCAACATCATTATGTGACATCAACAGGTTGGGGAAAGTATTTATAGTCACGTTAGTATTAGAGAAAAATGTAAACACATGTTGTTACAATTACATTAAGTCATTAAGTCAGAGGAGAATGACAACAAATAATATAAATATGATGTAGATGTTTGAAAAGGATGTTTTAACTATATAAGTTTAAAGATTTTTCTTGTCGTTTAACACAATAAGGGGTGTCAAGATTGACTAATTGAAAGACCGACGATAGGGAGGTCTTTATTTGGGCAATCCTGAAACTCCAAGATGTGTTATATGACAAGAAGAGTCTTAAAATTTGCATTATTTTACTTATATACTGTCAACAAATATAATTTCTGCAAAGATTTGCAGGGAATTGTATCTCATTTTACAGATCAATTAAAGTGGGATATTCTTTTCTTCTGCATTCTGGTATAATCAAGCCCAATATGGCTCAATTAAAAGGTAAAATAAATCTCACTAATCTAGATATGAACGTTAGTAATCACTGCTCTGTTGCATTTAAAATGTTAATTGCATGAAGCAAGAAACAAATGAATTGTTTCAGTGTATGAAAAATACAAGTCACATGGTAAGTAGTTTCTTAACTTCATTAAAGGGGTGCTATGTTTTTCCTCTTGTTTCATGACATTTGTACCTTGGTAAATCTAGTAGATTATTTTCTTAAGAATTTAAAACAAATTATTCAGAATAATTGTGTTATCTCTTTTGTCTGGCAATACAATTTTTATGCCCCGCCGCAAGGTGTTACCCTTGACCATCCATCCTTCCATCTTCTAGTCTTTCGGTTCTCCCCATTTTCATTTGAAAGGCAAGCTTGAGCGGGGGCATTTGTGTCCTTAGACACATTCTCCTTTTTTTTCTACAAATTGTGATAAAATTGGCTTGTTAACAATTTTATAAAAAATAATGCCTCTTTGTTGTAGCGATAATTAAACAAAACTTCAGATTATTTTTTTCTAAAATTAAACTCGGCAATTCAGATTTTTTTTGGGTTGTATTTCAGTCAAAAAAAGTAGGAAAGGATTGTTCCTGCCTAAAACCGTTAAAGACTATTAAAAATGGAAAATTGTACAGTAAAAACCCAATTGGCAACAACACACAATGACTTTTAAATGAATTAGACATTGAAAATACTGTAGTTTGCATTTAAATCAGGGTAAATAGTTACCTTATTTTATACTTGAAGCACATTTCATTGACACTTTGTATCAGCCGGGTTGTTTCTTCAAAAGAAAGACCTATCATTCTGAAAGGAAATAACTCCATATAGGTATATAAGGGATATTAAAAGAAATCCTAGATGTGAAAATAATTATTATATTGCTATAAGCATTAACTTGGTCAATGATGTCATTCACTTGCACTTCTATGATGTCATAACAAAGCCTTTATTGCTGTAAAACATAATTAAATCATCAAAGTGTGTCAATAATATCAAAATAAGCACTGTTTACATTAAAGTCACTGCTTGTTTAAATAACAATACAGATTAGATTACTTTTGTCCCTAGAGGGTTTCCATACAAACATCACTTTCTAATGTTTGATAAACTAAAATAGTTCATATTTATCCATTATAGTCATCTTTGTATCCATCAATTAATGCATTTAAAGTACAAAAGTCATAATATTATAAAACTAAAACAAATTATGGTGATATGACGGTACAGGTATACTGTCACCACATGTAAACAATTGGTAGTTGTCACAGCTCTTCCTTGGCATTTTCATTAAACTAATTATTGGTAAGTTCCGACATAATTTAGCTGTTTAAATTTTATAGTGGTTAGAAAAAAAATAATTTTTCATTGGTTTTAGAATTTAGTTTGAAAGTAACAGCCCTGGAAAGACTCATTTCATGTTTTGTTTTCTTAAAAATGATAAACATTGACAATGACTAAAAAACTGATTTACATTGACAAGGACTAAGAAAATTGATGAAGAATCAAATTTGTCTTCATCGAATACCATGGAAAAAATGTAGGGCTACAAATAGATAGAACCCAGGAAATACTGTTGCAAAAGTTTATTATACAGATTGGTTGAAATAAAACAAGATACAGAGTATCATCCAAAAAAGAGAAAATAAGAAATGGGGGAAGGGCTAGGTTACCAAGCCTTTCAACAGTTTCGTGCCCAGAACCAAAAAATATTATAATTTTCTGATTTTCTGGCAATGATCTAATATTTTTATTTACTGTAACTTAAAAGGGTTACAATGAAAGCCTTACGAAATGTTGCCACCATAATAAAAAGTATTTTCCATCCCTAAATGAACCCCTGTTTTTTTTGGTTTTTTTTTAAACATGACATAAAATGTACACAATATCCCTTTGTAACTGTTTTTAGGAAATAAAGACAACAGGAAATATAGCTGCAGAATAAATAATTTTTATATTAACCAACTCAAATCTTAAACGGCAAACAAAAATGTTGGATAATTTTATAATATGTGCATAATTTGTCATCTTACTCTAATCTTTTCATGAATATAATAATAAAAGTCAGTGTTATATGTGTATTAATATTGCAAGTTAGGAATACAATCTCTTTATTTCTGTTCTTTATTTAAACTTTATTAATATGTTGACAGTTGTATCATAATTGTATTCACCTCATTTCCAGAATACTAATAGAGAAGTATTAACATCTTCATTTATAAGAAGTACAGAAAATCTTGAAGTGTAAAATTCAATATTTTATTGGGTACCAGCTTGATATATTTTGTGATTTATAGTTGCAACAAAATACAGACTTTGGATTAATTGTCTGCAAGTTATGAAATTACTAATTTGAAACCTGATTATGAAACAGTTTTCAAACAATTCACAAAAGTAAGCATTTTTTTCACATGTTTCTTTTTACTTGTAGATTGAAGAATTTAATAGTTTTAATCCTCTGATGGCCTCTTCAGGATTATATCAGTGTTTGAAGAATAAAAACAAAAAACCTGAACCAAAACAGCAAAAAAGAAAAACAGAAAATGTAAGGATTTACTTTAATTTTCAAATATTATGTATTTCAAGGTTTACTTCAAGTGGCACGAAATTTCTAAAGTGTTATTTTTAATTACTAGCACTGAGTGATACCATAGTACTGCTGTTGGACCGTTAGTCCATAAGGGTTTCATCAGCTAAGTAGTTTGTTCTTTGGTACTGATGTAATTTTTAACAGGTTTTGTAAAATTCCCAGGTGATAAATTAATAAACATTCTCATCTTAAATTTTGTCCCTTTATTCACAATGATCATTTTTAATTAAATGTTTTAAGATGATATGCAATATATAAAAATGATATTAACAAATGAAAATTATAAAAACAAAACCAAAATGATGGAGCATTTTTTGTCCAAATTCATTGTCACAAGCTTTACTTTAAATCACCATTTTCTACATAAGGAAATGCCTGTACCAAGTCAGGAATATGTTTTACCATTCGTTTGGGGTATTTGAGCTTTTGATTTTGCCATTTGATAAAGGACTTTCCGTGTTGAATTTTCCTTGGAGATCGGTATTTTTGTTATTTTACTTTTTGCACATATACAAATACTAAATGGCTCTTTGTTCCAAGCTTGCCATATCACAACTCTTGTGCCACAAAATATTGAAATCTTGCATTTATGTGGGACAAGCTGGGCTAGCTTTAAAGTAATGAAAAACAACATAGGAGCTTGACTTTTAGGGAATTTTGAGGTTTTTCCAAAAATCGCTGTTTTATTACAATGTTGTGATGTCAGTAGAAAGTCACAGATATAAAGTTTGTTTCTTAAAATTAAATGAAAACAACACGTTATAAATTTCATAAGTTGGAAGCACTTTTCTGGATTTAATTTCATCAGGAATGCTCAAAGCAGAATATTTGAATGCCAAGGATGTATAAGAACCAGAACAGTTGAAGATATATATAATCAAAATGGACCTAAAATATAGCCAAATCCATATAAGGTCAACTTTGCCTTGAGGGAGTTAAAACCTTAGTTTCCTTATAATTTCAAAATAATGTTGATCTCTATGAGATAAACTTTCAACGAGTCAAAAATCTCTGGTCTTTTAGGAACCAAAACCTTATTGCACATCTACAGATGATGTACCATCATTCTATGAAGGATTCTAAGTCCTTAAAAAATTGATAGAGAATTTAATGCTTTTTAAATTTGTTGATTTTCAGTCTAAAAGTCTTATCCAAGGTTACAAATTTGGAAACCTTATTGCAAATTCTAAAGATTGTGGTTCAATTATTGTATTTTAAAAGGAATTAAATCCATAAACAAAATAAAGTGAAAAAAGGAGAAAGGTTTACAGAAAGTAGTATGAAAGAACAAATGTAATACTAGGAGTTACATTACCATTATCCCTAAATTTTCCAATGAAAGTGCAAGGATAATAACCTTTAAAGTTATTCAGATAGCTCTTAGCTCTATGTATTTTATTCTCATGAATCATCAAATTTCTACAAATTTAATACACATAAAGGTCATGTTCTTGAATTAATAGCATGTCTTTTTTCTTACACATTGTTTAACAGGAAGGATGAATTATTTAAAATAAATATATGCATATTTTGTCATCTTAATTTTATCTTTTCATGAATTTGATTATAAAGTCACTATAAGGTGTGTAATATCATTTCATGTTTTAAATAAAATCATTTTATTTCTATTTCTACTTAAAATTTTATTAATATGTTCACAGATGTATCATAATTGTACGCACCTCTTTTCCAGAATACTAATAAAGAAGTGTTAACATCATCATCAAAGTACAATAACAACATACAAATGACAGGAAAAGCTCCAAGGGCATCTCCAGTTTCTACCAGTGTAAAAAGGCTTAGACCATTGCTAAACATCTTCCCAACAGATTTGTAATTATCAATTAAAAGACCTAAACTATTGCTTCTGTCTTCTTAACAGACTTGTAACTAAGGAAGAGCTTTACATACATAGTTCTATCTATTTTAAATGACTTGTTTACCCTGAAAGGTAGTGTATCTTACAGTCTTTATTTCTAAGCCTTGTTCTTATGTGGCAACAGTTGACCACTAAACATTTTTTTATTGATATTTGATATATGCTCATTTATTCTGTGAATCTGAGAAGTTTTGAACAATAAAGATTAGTGGTTAAAAAAATTATGTAAACAAGTTAACAGAATAAGATAATCTTCAAAACATTCATATAGTTTGTATTTGTTATTTGTTTACAGTGATTTTTATATTTGAATAAATTCGTTAAATATTTATAGTGCTATTTCTGCTTTTTTGACCAAGACAATGCGGTACTGAAGAGTGTCTAATTTTCGATCTCCTTACAGCAGTTTGATAGTAGATTAGCTATATAGCTAACTGTGTAACTCTCTTGAAATAAAATATTGTTGTTCTTGTTGTTTCAATGCCAGTGTTTAATCTTTTGATATAAGTTTGCTGTTTTTCACATTTGAGTTTGGTCTTTCCATTTTTTAAATTTTCATAGAATAGATTCTGCAGTTTCCTAATATTTATTTTGGCATGATCCTAACATCATCAAATTTAGCTCCTCATGAGCTTTACTCATGGTTGAAGGCTGTATGGTTGCCTATTATTGCTTACATCTAGCTGACTATACGGTAAGGGTTTTATTCATTGTTCAAGACCATACAATGCCTATAATTACTTAAAACTACTTCATTTGAACTCTGGTGGATAGTTGTCTCATTGACAATCATACCACATCTCCTTATTTTTATAATGTAAGCTGAGTATGGTGAATAAGTTTGGCAATCGTTTATTTCAAAAATGATACGCTTATTTGACAATTAGAATTATGAAAAGAGTCTTTCCAATTTTCCATCTCCAGACAGAAGGGTTACTGATAAGATTGAGCAATACATCTATCAACACATGATCAGTTTGTCCCACTAAGTAGGATAATTAGTGGCACAGAAGAGAGGGACTGACTTGGGAGAGTCCTTTTGGTTTCTAATTCATAGTTGAAAGGTGAAGGTCAAAAGATAGAAAAACTTGTAGACAGAATATAAGACGAGAAGAGTGATAATCTATAATATCAAAGCTGGACTTAATTTTAGTATTTAGAGTTTTTCATCCATTCTCTATCAAGTTTTTAGTAGGTGACAATCATTTCAAAATGTTAATAATTGTGATCATGTCTTGGTTCACTATTATAAGATACCTATATTGCAAATGTCGGTGACACTATCCTGTCAGTCATTTCCAGTTCATAACTTACAACCAAACAAATTACTGGCTTGTAACATGATGGCATCCATTAGTTTAGGAAAACTTTTCCAATGCATCGGATTTTGACTGGTTATTAATTGGAAGAATGCTCCACAATCTTTAAGATTTCTGTGTAATGAACTTTACCTCTCTGAAGTGTCTTTGGTACCATGTTGTCAGTTGGACTTCAAGTTGTTTCTCAATCTTTTGTTTTCTATGGTACCAGACCTGCCAACCTTCACCATTTATGGTGGATATCCCCCATGGGAGGTGTTGTTTTGAACCTGAATTTTGAAATTTTTTATTATATGAACCGAACACTTCAAATTAGGCATTCAAATGAGTAAAAAGGGTATTTAAGCACATAAATACTCATTCAAACAATATAGTAGTTGATCAAATACACTCATGACTATATAAGAGCAGCATGTGGTCCTTTTGCGCTTAAAATCCCCTAAGGAGATTTTGAAAAGTTGATAGGCATGTGTTTTGATTCACGAACCATTGGTTTTACTATGACTTGACTGTAAGTATTTCACTCTCTATTGTATTTCACTAAAATATTATTCGTTTTATATCATTTACCAATACTGTTCAAGCTTTACTTACCTGCTTTGTTATTTGTGTCTAGCGTTCACTGTGTTTGTTTGACATTAAAATTGGCAAATGATAGTATGTTATCAGCGCTGTTGTAAGAAAGAAAAGAAGGGTCACGATTTTTTTTAAATTGCGTTAATAATGGCAAATTTTTTATTTCTTACGATGTTTTTCACGCTTTGATCTCCTTATGAACCATTTAATATACTCACCAAACATTAATCTGCCTTCTTTTTTTTAGCGCCATAGGTGGGCTTATTTTTACACTTCTCCCAATTAGAAGTACATTCAAACATCATTAGTAGCAATTCATCCATTCTTAACTGAAAGTATTCATGATTGTATTTGAAATTTGGCAGTGCTCGAGTTGTTGGGTCAAATGAAGCCGAATGTCAACCAAGTTTCGGATATTATCACAAGGATTGCCATCCGATTGACTCTCCTGTGGATTTAAACTTCTTCGGAAACATATTTATCTTCAAAAACTCTGAGTATTTGAAACAAGTTTTCCAAGCTAGATACTTAGAGAAAAAATTTCAATGTAACAATTAAAAAAAAGAAAGAAAAGAAACCTCTATATATAAAACAGATGCCTAGAAAAAAAAGGAAAACCACAACAATTTCTTTGGATGACATCAGTAGAACTTTGTGAATTAATTTGATTAAAGTTTATAGCAATGAAAGGTAAAGTTAAATAGGGAAAAACATTCTTTAAAATAATACAGAAATGAAAGATCTAGAATGTATGTAAGGAAACAGACTAAACATAATACATAACGTGCAAATTTACTCGAAAAAACACATAAAAGATACCAGGCTTATAATTTGGTACGAAAAACACACGCTTTTTGGCTACAAAAGACTCACCAGTGGAGCTCGAAGCAGCAGTCGGAAGACCAACACAAATACAAAGTTGAAGAGCATTTAAAACCAAAAAATCTGAAAAGTAAAGCGAAGATACGTATATAATCTTTGTTACTTGTTTTGCAGGATTTAAAAGGAAAACTTTAGAAAATAAAGCGTAGATGCCGAGTGCAGACCTATCAGAAGTCCTAGTAGGAAATAGAGCTTTATAATTTTTAGTTAGTTTATCAAAAAGGTCATAAAATCTAAAATGTTACTACTGCCTTTATTGAAAGTGACACTGTCGCATTTTGGTGTTATCTTTTTTTTCGATTTTGTCAGTTTACAATTAAGGTTTGTTCTTCTCCCCTTCCTTTTGTCTATGTTACGAACGACAGTTACTCTAAAACAGGAGAAAGTGATCCGATCTTCAGAAAACTGAAATGCACAACTGCACATGTAATGAACATGTGAAATAGTTCTGAGTGATTTCTTTATATTCCAAAAATGACCACTGGGACCATAATTTATCTATTAGTCCCAGACAAATCGTAGGAGATTATTCATTTACAAACTTCCCGTATATGTAGAATGAATAAAATCGATGTTACAAATGCTTCGAGTTTTACTTCTATGCTGCTCATCTGCACCGATTATATACTATGCAGAATATCTTGTACAAGCGTCAACCATTGTGCACGAGTTAAAGGCTGAATCAGATTTGATATTAATAGGAGTTTTTATATAACAAATCAAATTAATATTGGAAAAATTTGGTATTGTTGTCAACGATACTTCTATCCGTAAGAGCTGATTGGTTGCATTCAAATATATAAAAAAAAGTATAAACAAATTAATTTTCCATATGTGGAAATAGTGAAGTGGGTGTTTTCGTATGAGAAACTCCAAATAACAATCCTGTCAAAAATAAAATAGGACATGCACCATCATCTATGATCATACAAGAATGTATTAACACAATTACCGGACTCCAAGGTACATTCAAAAAGGGGGATGTCCATAAAACCTGACAAAATAAAACATGACTATATCAACGAAACGAATGAAACTGTACAGACATTTTCCGTAAAAAAATGATGGGTTAAACCTAGTTTTATAACTATCTATTCTCCCACTTGCATGACATGTTTATAGTTCCGTTATATTGAAAAAATTGTGCGAGCAACCCAAACGGACATAAAAGGTTAATGTGACAATAAAACCAGCCAAAACTGTAAACATACATCACAGTCATACAACACAACTGACCTAAAAATGTAAACAAATCTACAAATAAATCAGACAAAGTAGACAACAAAAAAAATGTTTTTGTAATTAAAAGTATATACAGTACAGTAAAACATAATGTCATACCAGTATACACTTTCACGACAAAGTAAAATATAAATACATGGGTAAACAATTCGAAAACAACACTATAAAAGGTTCATGCGTACGAATCACTCCTCTGACCCCACCTGAACCAAGAACGCCTAAAGCTAAAAACCAGAAAGCTGGATTTACAAATACCGAGTCACGTCAAGAGTTATACGACGAAAAGGAACACAATAGTACAAACACAAATAAAAGGAAACAGGTAAATAAAATGATACACAACTTCAGCACCTAGAATCTATAACACAGGACCATCTTGTATTATTTATAAAGTTGACAATGAAAATTTACATATTTGGTCTTGGTACTTTCGATGAACTTCTTGATAAAAAGGACGAAAAAACATTCAATCAGATCTAAAATAGAATAGATGCATCATTTCATCAAATGTTCTTTTTTTTAATGAACCGACAAACGGACGGACGGATGAACAGTGCAAAAACAATGTATCTACTACATAGATATAAGCTGAGACACAACTCTTTATTTAGGTCAGTAGTTGGTATGATGTACAAATGGTATAAGTACATGTAGTATGTCTCAGTTTAAATTAAATAGATAGTCAAACTGATGCATGCTTACAATTTCAGACCCCGATTTTCGCTCACATTTTTATAAATATGTCAAAGTCAATGTTTTTTCTATGAGGAACCAAAAACCATCATTTTAAACCAATACAATTAAGTGTCTATATAAAACTAATTTCGGATGCAACAACCTAAAATAATCGTCTCCAAATAATTATTATAATAAGGATCCAAGATGACACCAAATATGCAATGGGAATCAGACAGAGTTGGTTTCGAGCACTTTTAACGAGATGCAATCGAATCGTTGAGGTTTTTCTACCTTAAGGTATAGATTGCGTTGAGCCATATTTGGCACAACCTCTGGAATTTTCAGTTTTTAATGCTCTTCAAATTTGATTTGGCCATTCAACTGTTTTGATTCGAGTGTCACTGATGAATGAGTTTTATGTAGACGAAACGCGCATCTGGCGAACAAAATTATAAGATTGGTATTTTGATGAGTTTTTAGTATGGCGTATATAAATATGTATTTTTCTAAAATGGATCGTTCTTTCAACATTGTTTACGTCTGTTCGAGCTAGAAAATTTCCATGGAACTAACAACAAAGTTTCACGTGATTGATATCTTGAATTTACGTAAACGGGACTTTCTAAGAAAAAGT